AAAAAAAAAAGGAAAATGGAAGCCAAAAATAACATTTTCAAAGAAGTGTGGATCACTGTGATTTAGTGAACAGTTTTTTGCAGAACTTGAACAATGGAAAAAAAACGCATTCAGGAATTCAGGGCGAAGTTGTTAAACTCAAATATTTTCCGATTTAGGCAGCACTGCAAAATGTCTATATTTATAGTGAATCGGGGCAAGTACATTTTGCACGCAATATCAATGCCTCCTATAGCGTTTTTATTACTTCGCCTAATTCATGGGCCATTTAAAGACAGAGCAACATCGATTTGCAGATTATTTTTTCTTGCAACAAATTTCTATCATCGTAACACCAACTAACTGCAAGCCGTTTGTACTTTTCATTATTTTCGCAAAAAAAAAAAAAAAATGACGACAAACAACTGTGAACCATTCAGTCTAATCGTTGTTTGCCTCACTGAACACTACAAGTCTCTATGTTCATTTTTTTTTAAAAGCAAATTTCACATAGGTACCAACTAACAGTGTAAAAAACTAGGAAGCAATAAACCAACGCGAAAAAAAGTAATTTTATAATTTATGCAAGTAGAATGTTAATAATCAGCAACAACATTAGCTACAAAACTTTTTTTAATAATTAAGAAACAGTATTTTAGTTTTGCATAATTTTTTTCTTCATAACAATAAAGCTTTGTGCCTTATCACTCAGACTTGCCGAAACAGCAACAAAAGTAATGGCTCACCCTAATTTACTCAATCATTTACAGTAATAATTCATGTTACAACAAACTATACTTCATTCTCCTTTTAAATTCCAATATTTCGTTCTAAAAGTATCAAAATACTTCTACACCATTTACTGCCAGAAACTTAAAGCTCCAAGTTACTGCACATCATATAAACTTCTTCGCAAAAACTGCATAAACCACTCAGCCATAATTTTAATTACAACAGGTCGACGATAGCAATGGGTAAAGTTCAATGGCCCTTGAAGATTTAATAAATTAATCAAGTCCTAGAACGTGGTAGCCGCGTAATGAAACGAGTTCAAGCTGGAAATAAAACAAGCTTTAAGTGACACAGTGAACAATTTAGTAGGTCTTTGAAATGCTGCTGAAGGACCTGAATTTTAAGGTTACCAATCTAAAACCGACACCCATGACCGGACGTGAAGGAAAAAAAAGAACGCGATGAAGACGGAAAAAGATACAGTCGGAAATTCGTTGTTGCTTGAAATCCTTGATAGTTTAACCGCTTAAAGCCTTCTCCGAAGAGAAGAGGTATGAAAAAAAGTACACTCTACCAGACAATAAAGGCTACTTTTTCCAGAAACCTTGGTAAGAATGACATTTAAAACGTTGTACAGCTAGAAACAACTTTTGCTAGACATCCAACAATAAACCGTTTGGTACCAGTAGCCAATTCCAATAATTTGTCATCTCTAAACGTACTCTCGTAGGACCAAGTCACTCAAGGCGCTTCTCTTCTTTACTGCAATTTCCAGCGACGGAAATGTACCACTAAATGATTAGCTAACTTATATCCGACCAAAGGAAATAGCCAGAAAAACAAGGTGAAACTATAGACCGCACTGAAAATCGCAGATCCCTGCCCTTATCCAACTAGTAGTTTGATACAACGATGGATCAGCTACCTCACAACCCCACTTTTCATCAAACTTTTGTACCTTCAAAAGTATAAGTTACGATTAAACTTGCCCTTCCTCTTCTGTGTGTTGCGCACACTTACTGTGGCGAAGTTACAGTTTAATTCTGCTAAACAACAACAAACCACTGCTCAGCGAAAACTGCAGCCCTATATGCTTCTCCATAAAATATCTGCTCTGAGGCATAGAGAGCTGCAATTTTTGGAGTACACGATGTCAATCGCCCAACCCTTCAGCCCCACTTTTCAAAAAGCTTCCTTTAACTCAATTTTATTACAGAAAAAAAAAAAGTATTTATCACAACAATTTGTAACTGAGATAATCCCCAACAAAACAAACAAACAACATTTCAACACCACAACATTAAATAAACATATGATTGTACAAAATCCTAATGAAATTGAATAACCGCTGCAAAAACTTATTTGAGAAGAGCCGGAAAAACAGAAACAATTAAATCACTGTTAATGAAGCGAAAAGAACGAGCACAGAAGATCCTGCCAAGACCACAACTAAAGGCCGGAAAAGCTCAAGCTAAAAATGATACTATTTGTCCACCCTTCACATACAAAGTTAAATTCAATTACAACTTATAAACCACTTTTGACTGGATCGCGACATATGGATAGGTGTTCTATTTCCCTATAAATACTATAAAGCTGTTCAGGTTAAATGACTCATTCAAACCCGGATTCACATATACCTAAGAAAAGAAAGGCGCGTACAGATATCAAAGCACAATGCCAACAAATGGTGATGTGCCCACCTCGAACACTGAAGTGTCACTATAGGGCAATACAGTTAAATAACAACGACGCAGTGAAAATTGTAAGGTTACCCGAAATCCACCACTTTTGACCAATACATATATTGAACGAGTAACTAATATTCCAAAAAGAATTGCAAAACGACACTGCTTGATTATTTGAAGCTTATTTGGTAGTAAATCAACCAGTAAGGAAGTGATGAAGTCATTTGGGTTTGCGATCTCTGGCTTTCCTCACTACAGGTTTTCCACGTATGACACCCTTCCCGGATTTACTCTGCAACAATAAATAAAAAAATTCACTCAAACTAAAAGAATTATAGTTAGCAAAATCCTACTTTTTTAGACAAAGAAAGGGACTTGGTCGACTTGATGCGTCGGAGCTGATACTTTATGTAAGGACGGTTTGACGGCTTTTTAACTTTATAAATGCGAACAAGCCAGTTCTCAGTAGTGTATGCTTCTTCAATGTGTTCCAGTACGATATCCTTCTTCCCAATTATGTAATTCCTTGTCCTGTCGAAACCAGATGGTTGCTGATAACCGAGCTAGAAACAGGAAAATGTAGGTAGCGACAAAACAATTTGTTTCCTTCTTTTCAAATATGGCATTAAAAAAAACCTTTATTTCTCCAAACCGATAATAACACAGTTTATACATAAGACAATTCAACATTGTCTTTGATGCATCAGCTCCTATGCTATATTCACCGGTTTCAGTGAAATAGTTGCTTTCCCTTATGTCATTTGGATGCTCCCCTTCAGCAATGCGTACCATCCATAAAAACTTGTTTATATCGTCACCTGAAAAACCATCATAAGATCTACCCGAATTAAATAAGTAGTCGTAACTCTAACGACTAAAAAGGGAAATTAAATTGTAGCAACAAATTATTGTTCTAA